AGAGTTATAGACTCAGTGTTATAGACTCAGAGTTATAGACTCAGTGTTACAGACTCAGAGTTCTGAAAAGTGCGATTTTTGCACATCGCACTTTTCAGTTTTTTATTTGTAAAAAATGTTTTGATTCATGTAAAATTTTGCTTCCACTTCACAATTGTATACCACTTTGTGTTGTGAAATATATTTATGTTTGTGGTTGTAATGTGACAAAATATGGAAAAGTTCAAGGGGTATGAATACTTTTGCAAACCACTGTAGAAGAGACTTTGCTGCCAGTGGCAAACAGAAGCTGATGCAAACTTTCACTCTCCTTCAAAATAAAAGCCCAGCAAAAGCTAGTTTTATAAGAGGTGATGAAATTTCAGAATGGCTGCAGATTGATTTCATATTTGACTTCTGATTTTTTTTAAAACTTTTTTTATTGACKTTCCACGGGCCAGATGGAGACAGTTTAGTGGGCTGGATGTGGCCCACAGTCCATAAGATGCCCTTGTGTCCTGAAGCCAACTACTTTAGTGATGACTGTGAAGAAGTGAAGCCCTCACTGCTCCTGTGTACTCACTGGTCAAATAAAACTAAAAGCCCCGTTGACAGCATCTTCTCTGGACAAATACAGATCAATAGTCAGGATGGGGCCACGGGCCGAGCTCTGCAGGAGATTGATGAGCCACATAGCAGAAACCAAGATTAAGTTCCATGTCTCAATTTATTTAAGTTAGACGACTAACAGGAGAGTGCTGTTGGCAGATATTCCTGTGTGGGCACATAAACATCACTAGAACCCATTAGGAGAATTTGCACTTACAACTAAAACCCTTCATCTGGATAACTAGTATGCAGAGCTGTGGAATTAATTGGGGTTCTGCTGGTTTTGTTGGAAACCTTTAGCTCATATATATTATGCAAAATGAACACTTCCATCGCCTATGTCCTATTTTCTCCAATTAAATTTGTAGTTACGCACTTTCTCTTAGCAGTGCATCAGAATGAAAAATGTGGAAAATGGATTCATTCTGTGTGTGTGTGTGTGTGTGTGTGTGTGTGTGTGTGTACTTGTTTTTCTTACCTATTTAGGACCGTTTCCAGTATACACACCTACCTTGTAAAGACCATAAGTCCTAATGGGGACCAAAGACCGGTCCTAATATGGTGGAACTCCATTTTTGGGTTGGGTTTAGGACTAAGGTATGAATTGAGTTTAGGTTAGTTTTAGGGTCAGGTAGGTACCTGTGAGGTTAGCCTTAGGGTTGGTGTTCAGGGTTAGGCTGTAGAAGTTACTGGAAATGAATGGAAGTCAATGAACGGTCCTAATAAGGATAGAAATACAAACCTGTTTGTGTGTGTGTTTGACCATTTTCCCGGTACACAACTTTGTGAGGACTCACTGTTCCTTATGGGGACAAAAACCTAGTCCCCATGGAGGGAAGTACAGTTAATGGGTTAGGAACAAGGTGTGTGAGTTTAGGTTAGGTTTAAGGTTAGGTGTGGAAATGGAGAAAGAGTGTGTTTTCATTAGACTGTGAATGCAGAATCACACATTAACTAATTTTAACGGAACGTTCAGAAAGTAATCATTGGCTTTATGTCTAATATTTATTCAACTCATTTCAAGATGGCTTCCACAGCTAATCGAATGCTAACGGAGAATAGAGACTAGGATTACCATATTTATTCATGTATAATACGATCATCCTTTTTTGAGCTTAAAAAGCATAAAAAATCTAATCATCAGTAACCTGTGCATAATAGCCCCACCCCCGCACCCCAACCCACACACACACACACACACACAATCTTTATGGATGATGTTTTAGGCTTAAATTTCTAGTAGGGTTGGGCATAATCATATCGTGTGCAATTAATCGCCAGAAAAACATTAATCAATTATTTTTTGGCACTTGACGATTAATACGATTAATGCCACCCGGCTGCTCGATGCTCCTCTCCGCTTCAAATATGACGAACATAAAAAAAAAGTTCTGCAGTTTACTTATATATCAACACAATTTAAAAATTGACGTATAGCCTGGAGTCTGTAATTTTGACACAATTTGGAACAGATTTTTACAAAAAAACAAATCTTTCCCACTAAATTGGTCATGTGACTAGGACATAAGGGTGTCCAGGAACTTCAAGGGATTAATCGTCAAATTAATCGTTAATGGCTAAATAACACAACTAATCATGATAAAAAAAATTTTACTACTATTGCCCAACCCTAATTTCTAGTATTATGCATTAATAAGTACAATAAAATCTTCCACACTGCTTCATATTTTTATTTTGTACTATAATTTGGAAACTTTCATTCTGAATTATGAACTTTTGTTTCAGAAAAGTTCATCAATGGGATATATTTAATTATATACATAATTTGGTTGTAATACAGACAGCTACAGAATGGTAAATGGACTGTACTTGTATAGCTCCTTTCTATCCATCCAGGACACTCAAAGAGCTTCACACTACACACACTATACACTGTGCTTCACACTACAATCTGTGTCCTCATTTACCCATTCACACAGCACTCTATTAGGTCTCTACAAAGCTAACATGTACAATCATGTATAGAGACAAATCAGTGCCAATCACATTCACACACTGATGGGACACACATCAGAGGTATTAGGGTTAAGTATCTTGCCCAARKACACAAGTGAGACAGATGGACGGGGGATCGAACCGGTGACCATCTTGTTCCAGAACAACTCCCCTAACCACTCTGCCACAGCCGCAWCATACAGCAAAGGATCTTTCCTGCCCACAGCATCACAATCTACAATAACTCCTCAGTTAAAAGAGTTACAACAACACCTAATTTCCCTCTGGGATCAATAAARTATTTTTGAATTTGAATAGAATTGACTAACTTGATTTTCAGATAATCTGTTCAATTTCTTTTGTCTTATTTTTTTTTTTACAGTTTTAGTTGATGTAATTAAGCTAATTTCTAAACTTGAAATTGTTTTAAATCTCACTTGGCTGGAGTGAAGTAATTTCATATTTTAATAATTGTCTTTTGTTCATTAGAGTCCAAAACATCAGCAGTAGTGCATAAACAGCTCCTCACCCCTGAGTGTCAAGTGAATCAGTCTTTGTAGCATTAAACTATAAACAATGTTAGAAAAGCTGTACAATATGAGCACGGAACACCTTTTTTTGAAAATAATTGAACTTCCTTGTGTTCTGTTTGTAGGTCTCTTGTGATCATCAGTACCCTGGACGGGCGGATCTCGGCTCTGGATCCTCACAACCAGGGCAGGAAGCAGTGGGACCTAGATGTTGGCTCAGGGTGCTTGGTGTCCTCCAGCCTTAGCAAACCTGAGGTAGAGCAAAACACGTTTCGTTTTCACTTGTATTTGTTTCAAATGGAAAGCTGCCCAAGCTGTATAATATACTAGACAAAAAGGCATGTGATATGTAAATCCAAATGATTTATATTTGCTACAACAAAACATCCATCATGGCACTCTTTCAAAGACCTCTTCACCCAGACCACCTTTACGTGTGGTTTGGTACGCTTTTATCAACTTTAGTAATGAAGTCTGAATGTAAACATGCTGACATGAGTCCACGCAGGCAGCAGAGTTTTACTTGGATGTCTCAGTTAAATAAAAACAAAAACAGTAATTCAGTGTCAGCTGATGGCTAATAGCCTATATGCCACGGTCATTAATGACGTATTTCCGGTAAAATTCTTGCCACCCTCCTCCCTTCCACTCCCTGCTTACTGCCTATGTTTTTACCGTTAGCTSCTAGTACTAGTCCGTGAAAAAGTCACAAAAGTTAAAGCATCTGTGAGCTACTGGTATAAAACGTGAGTTCTGTTGTGTGCCGTTGTGTCCATTAAGCAGCAGGTACAATCGAGTAGTTAGTTTTTATCCTTTTTCCTCTTGATGAGGAGGTGACAGCAGAGGATCATAGCATTACAGGCAAAACTTATCKTTAAAAGCTCACGCTTGTGTTTGTAATAAGCATTTCTAACCTGAGGATATTCAAGAGYCAGCATCAGAAATGAGAAGACGGAGGTTACAAAATTGGAAATGTACATTTATCCCCTTTTACTGCCAAGACCAGGAGAGGAAAGACCTCCTCCACACGACAGCTAGGAGGGAGCTAACACAGCAGCCGGTACAAAGGTAGGTGTGCGTGCGCGTTTGTGTTATATGAAATGTTTTTATGCGACTTTAACAAGTTTCTACTTTTGCATAAAACCCATGAAAGAGTGTATATTACAGCGTAAAGAAAACAYGAGCGACGAGCGCACCCCCCTCCTTCCCCCGAGCACCGAGAGCAGCAGAAACTCCGCCTGATAATCATTATGTTTTCAGTTCACTAACGTCGGGGAAAACGATCCAAACCAGACATGTAGCCCATCAATTTAAAGCCCAGACTCTGCTCTTTCCAACAATATGTGTCACAGCTCTACGTGAAAAATTCACCAAACAAGCAGCCACAGAAGTGAAAAAGGCTAATTTCTGAAACCATAAACACAAACGTCTTTTCTTTGTTTTTATGGCTTTAATCCACTTTGGAGTGTTTTTTTCCACTTGGCTGGACCTGTACGTCTCCTGTGTTAATGTTGGTACATGTAATATGCTAATTCTGTACTGTGGAGATCATTAAGAGTCGTTGTCGGGTGAAAAACTCTTTCGCTAACACTGTGTTGACCGCGAACCGGAAGTGTTGGGAGTGGCATCAAGTGCTGGGCCGGATGTCCGTGGCATTTAGGCTATTGAAGATGATCAACCTGCTAATCTTGGGAATATTCTCAAGTTTGTTAAAACCTTTTTGTTCATGAAAATGTCTATTTTCTTGGGATTTTATCAGGCATTGTGTTACTAGAAGGCTACTTGGTGACTTTCTTTTAATTTTGTTTGTTTTGGTTGTTTTCAGATCTGATTGGTTTATAATCACTGTATAATAAAATGCTTTGTGTTGATCACAGAGCAGCAATTTAAGCTGTATTATGTCCTCATATTAATTAACTCAAACAAGTTTATATTGTGTTCACAGTGAAGCTTAAGATATTTCACTGTTTGACTCTACAAGTTAAACTCTTCGGTGTTTGCTCTGACACAGAGCTTTATGAAAGAATTAATTATTTCAAGGTATTTTTATTTCTCTTGTCTTTCAGGTTTAGGTTTTAGAACTGCATATTAAAGAGTTAATCCATAGTTTTTAAGTATGATTTAAAAAAAGCAGCTGTGACTGATTATTATATATATTTATTATTAAATATTATATTTCTTTTTTATTGTTTCTCAGTGCCAGAAGGTTGGAAATTGATATGATAAAATGATAGTTTTGTAGCATGTCTGTGATTTATTTTACTATTTTTTATTTTTATAAAAAATGAAATGATAGATTTTGAGAGTGGTGATTGCATAATTTTGTCCTAGTAGAGTCACTGTAGCTTCCTGTACTACAAATATAATGCAGACAAGCTGTGTTTTCACATCTTTTTCATCTCCAGTGATAAACACAGTGCTAGTTGTCTTAGCTTTTCTGTTGCATTATCAATTGTAATTTAGCCTCTATGCTAACAGTTTGGCAGGAGCCTGCGATAAATGAGTTTTGTTTGTGTTTTTTGCACTTTTTATTAGGCACAAAATTATATAAATCAATGTTTATTTAAATCAAGTTTTTGTTTAAGTTTCAAGATAATTGAAATGCATTAATAATTATTTCATGTCTGAACTGTAACTGAATTGCAAGGTGCCTATTGAAAGTATCAAAACTCACTGTACAAAAGAACATTTCTTGCTCGATATAAGGAAATCTGTAAGCGTGACATTATTTTCGAGGATAAAAAGTTCTTTTCCATGTCTTTCCTGCCAGTTTGTCCTGACTTTATTTTCCAGTTTGTAGACAGWAGGAACAGTGCTTTGCTAACATCAACCAACATAGATATTTACAGACATGTGATCCATTGCATGTACACAGTCACGCAGACGTCCGCCTCCATCCTCGCGTGGATCCAAATAGCTGATCTGCCCGGAGYATAAGCCTCTTTGTTGATTCTAGTGGTTTACATAAACAAGTAGAATAAAAGCCGTGCCTGACGTTCAGAAAATGAAGTAAAGWCCAGAGCGTTGCACACAGATGCATGCTGGAGACATGTTCGCAGTCTTTGAAGTGAGCTTGCTCTGTGTGAGAGTGTTGCCTCAGGGAAGAAGCCTATGCTGGTGCGAAGGATCTGGGTGGCTCCATAGATTGGTTTAATGTTGGTGCTGCTGGTAAGAATGTTCGAGTCTAAGGAATGCTTTGGCTCAAACACTTCTGCTTTATTAGTACAACACAACAGGCAGGTCAGGTTTATTCGTGTAAGTAAACAAATTTGACAGTTTCTTTGCGAAGCAGCTTGGCTTACATTATGTATGAGTTGTCTTCCATTGAAAGTGAACATTATAAACRTAATAATGAGGAGTTTCAACTGATCCTAGTGAAGAAAAACATTTAGTAAAGGCAGTTGCTGAGGTTGCTGATGAACGACTTCTAGAGAAAATTATTTCTAGACTTGATCAAAATGAGTTTCTAAAGACTGTTTGTGTCAGATGGTTAAAAAGTCTGTTTGTAGACACCCCCCCCCCCCCGTTTATTTATACAACACATTTCAGCAACAAGACAATTCAAAGCTCTTTTCAGTGGTTCCCAAAGTTGGGGTCGGGACCTACAGTGGGGTCCTGAAAATATTTTCTGTATTAATTACACTAAAAAATTGACATTTTTTTGCCTTTGTTGTTACAAAATAATAAGATTAATGTGCTTAGAATGGACAAAAATAACGTCATAAATAATGTTATATGCTCTCGTTTATTTGACATAAAAACAATATTTATCAGCCGACGACAGCTGGGGGCACAGGTCTCTGCTCCTGGTATTTTGTGGGTCAACAGCTGAAAAGTTTGGGAACACCTGTGTTACATGATGAAAATGAAAAAAAGAATTACACTGCAGTGGGAAAGTAAAGACAAGTTGGAGTACAGACAGCAGAAACGGCGGGTTTATTTACAGGTTTTTATTTGCGTTCGCTAACTGTGACAAGACAAGAGTAAAATTTGTAAAAATGTTCACCAATGTGTAAAAAAAATTATTTAGGTTAACATATCGTGTAAGAAAATAGTTACTTAGTTCAATGTGTAAGACTTCATATAGTGATAAAAGTGATCACTGGTTGAACATGTACAACTGATTAGCTTTTGGAGATGAACTGTGACATAAAAGGCGGAGGAGGTGTCTCTTTCATGTTTTGTCTAAGCTCTTGCAATTCATGCAAGTTGAAATCCTGCCTTAGCCTCTGGCCTCAGTAACCTTGGATACCTGTCAGCTCAATGTGTGTGTGTGTGTGTGTGTGGGGTGGGGGGGTGTCACTGGGTCTTTACATCTCCATCCTCCCCCCTCCTACTTAGAGACGAGCTTAGCAGCAGTTTTATTGGTGCTCGCCGGGTGCCTGAGGCACCAGTCTGCTCAGTAATCAGAGGCTATCCGTGGTCTGCCGTCTCGCTATTGGCTGGTGCCGAACATGCTTGGGACGGAAGCAGCCAGTCACCTGCTGCATCCGGCAGAGTGGCTCCTTTTTTAATTTATTTTTTCTTTTTAAGGGGATGACAGACCGCATTGTCTGCAGAAAAAAGTCATCACGTAGGAAAAAAAACAACAAAATTCTCCTGGGTGTGTGTTTTTTTTTTTAAAGAGGGGATGGTTTTATGGAAGTTGGTGCCACAGTCGAGTGACTCATGCTGGGGGCGCTGGACCACAGGGATGAAGTGTGTGTGTGTGTTTTGGTGGGAGGGAGGGGTGATAAGGGAGGTGAGGTAATGCTTTAGACCAGAGATGATGTCATCACATAATAGCCAAAGTACATATGCTCACTCTAAGATGTGCACACTTGTGTACACTGCTGGCATGCAGTGTGAAGGAATGAATAATGAGAATTAATTCATCCCTACACAGAGACAAATGATGGATTACCTCAGTGTTCCTAAAAGGACAAGCAATAATTCTTCCAGCACAGTGAAGCAAGGAAAAATGGACAGTTAGGCAGCAGTGCTGTCAGGAAATCGAACTTTCTTTAGTTTGTTTTTATCAAACGTAACGGATCTGAAGGTTTTACCACAAAGCAAGTTCCACATAGCTGGGCTTTTTTTAATTGGCAAAACTTAAAACTTCACTAAGAGATAGCAGGTATTACCACGACAATTCTGCTGTCATTCTAAATTAGTGTTTATGCTTTGATTTTTAGAGGTATCTTGAAACGTTTGACATGTTCCTGTTTGAAAAAGACTTTAATAGAACAAATAAAAAAAAGATACAGATACATCATCAGCTGCTGTAAGCTTGCACAATTTTTTCTAAAGATCCAAATGAATGACATCACCTCTTAGTTGTGTAATAATCCCAGGTTTTTGGGTTAAGTCTGAGTGCGAGGGCCAAAATGGCTGTTCTGTAGGCGGGTTAGTGTCTGGCAACTGTTTTCTGTGTAGATCACTGTTTTAGACTGAAAATGCACACACGCACATAAAAATTCAGGAGTTTGCTGCTGTTGAAAATAAATCAACAACTTAAACTTTAAATATTAATATTGTCAAATGAAGTATTTATTTTGTTTTGCTTTATGCATCCTTTACTACGACAGAGTATTAGGGCCACACAAGGATAAATTAAAAAAAAATTWAATTACGAGAATAAAGTCATAATATTATGAGAATAAAGTTGTAATATTACGAGATTAAAGTCGTAATATTACGAGTTTAAAGTCATATTACAAGAAAAAAGTCATAATATTGTAGCCTTTACACGAAAAACCACGCAGTTACTGCATTAAAATGAGGAATGTTGATCAACTTGTCAAGTTGTTCTTTAGTATTGCTATAAATAAATAGTTAATCTTTTAGCACATTAACATCAAATTGTCAGTAGCAGGACTTGGAAGTTGTGCAAACGACTATAAACTGAAGATCTATCTGTGCTAAACAGTATTTTTAAAAATKTACAAAACTGAACAGCCTACAGTATGTTTACAGTCTTTATTTTACAGTTAAAATAAATGTTCATCAAATAAAGTCTAATGTTACAACTAATCAGGGATCCCTTTAACAAATTCTCCCAATTTCTCCCTTTTGACGTTTTTGTTTGTACACACACCAACTTGGCAGTAAAAAATTTACTGTGTAGTATTATTTTTTTGTTTGTTTTTCTTATACAGATGTTTGGCAGCAAGATGGTCATACCTTCACTGGATGGTGCCTTGTTTCAGTGGAACCGGGACCGGGATAGTATGGAGGCAGTGCCTTTCAGTGTTGAATCCCTGCTGGAGTCATCCTACCGTATCGGAGAGGACACAGTTCTGGTTGGGGGCAAATCCCTCACTACTTATGGCCTGGGGGCATACAGTGGCAAGGTCTGTGTAACGATCTGGAGTAGTACGCTTATAAATCTACCCCACGGCCATTTTTCCTTTTGTACATTAGACAATAAAGAACCCTTTCTTGCTATTTGCCCCAGATTCGGTACATCTGCTCTGCGGGGGGCTGCAGTCATTGGGAGAATGAGGAGATGGAGGCTGAAGATGTGCTTCTGCTGCAGAGGACTCAGAAGACTGTTCGAGCCATCAGGCCTCGGTCAGGAATGGAGAAGTGAGTTTTATTCGATCATCCAGTTTGTCCTCGTCTGTCCACCAGAAACCATCAGGAAGCGACCAGGTCTTGTGGCTTGAAAAAGACAGTTGAGTCATAACAGAACCCGTGGTAGGGTTCAGGAAGTGTTGGCATAAAAAATAATCATAATTAATTGTGTTGTTTAGCTGGTCGCAATCAAAATGAGGATTACTAGATGACAGTTTCACTGTAGTCGATGTTGTGGCCTTGGTACGCATTTTCTGGCTTTCCTCAAACTCCGATTTATGTTGGTGTTTCAGGTGATCAAACAAATTGATTAGGTTAGGATTAGCGTTATCTGCTCCACACTGCCTTCAAGTATGAAGTTCACATGCACGACTGATAGTGTGTGTTTTACACAAAAATGTCATCACATGGGACTAATTGCAGTTACTTGAAAGAGGCAAATATCGTGAATGTTTTCAGCTGTAAACTTCAGCTAGTTGAAGGTAGCAGTAGGTCTTTTCTTGTTAGTTTTACCACAAAGCAGATTAACTGAAAAGTCAATATGATTGACCTCAAAATAATAATAAAAACCAACAGGACATATTCTGAAGTCGAAGATGTTTTGCTTCCCAAACAGGGAGCTTTCTCAATTCAAAACTGAAGCGGTCCAAACCTATGTTCCCCGGTACCTACCCACATATCAGACGGGTGTGGGCCAGATCTGGTGTCAYGCTGGCACTGCTGGTGTGGCAAGTGGTTCGTCAACTGGATGTGGGCCAGTTCTGTCAATGATGGCCCTGTTTTTAAGATGRTATGCCACAACTGGCCCAGTTGTGATTTGGTTTATTTAGTGCCGGTCCATGCACGGACCACTTCTGTCAAACCACATCTGGGTTTTTTGTGGTATCTGGGTCAAGTGTTTTAATTTTGGTGCGTTGTGTGAGCCAGGACTGGGCCAGACAAATGTTGTTTTTTTGCATATGTTCCCTGGTACCGCTGTTCTCCCTGGAGTTAATAATGAAAACCATGGAAGATGCTGGGCTGTGTGGGGGTGGGGAAGAATTAGAGAGCAAGCATTGTATTGGGGAACATAGGGATGATCCCAGMTGAAGAATGGCCCATTTTTTGTGCTATGTCCCGAATGACTGCGAATATACACCAGGATTTTCTCATTAGTTATTTACCTCTGATTGTTTATCTAATGATTCCAGGTGGAACTTCAGTGTTGGGAACTATGAGTTAAAGTTCATCTCAGAGAAGCAGTCTGGACTGAACTTCCTGGAGGGAGAAATGGCAAACGGTGATGCCTGGAAGGAAAGCCAGAAAGTCATCGCTGATGAACCAAAGGAAAGAGAACAAGCAGACAGCAAGCAGAACCAGAATCAACATTTGGACCTCGTCATCAAAGTGTCTGTTCCTGATTGGAAGGTGGTGGCCTTCAGTCCCGACCCAAACGGCCAGCTGGTCTGGGAGCATCAGGTAAGATGTTACTCTGTAGTGGATCATATTTGTCACAGTTCAGATCAAAATTTAAAGTGTTTTTTTCTAGAGTTGGGCGATCAAATGAATTTATCAACCGTCAGCCAATGAAGTCAATCATTGAAGGATTCATTTATTTTTTAACAGTACGCTGGGGTTGTTTCAAACTGCTTCCTAATGGCTCTTAATTTGAAATATGGATAATCATTTTAAGATCAATCTAAACATAGATTTTTAGCACAAAGAAAAGCAAAGAAGAAAATCACAAAACAACTTGCTTAGTACATCAAAGCCTTGAACAGGGCTCCTCATTTTTTAAAATGTCATCACTATTTGATTAAGATTTTGTACGAAACAATGACACCATGGTAATACACTCTCTGTGATGCACCAGGATCGAGGTCATTAAGAAAATAAACTGTTTCAGGACATTATCCTGTCAGGTTTTAACTTTCAAAAGTATTGTGTGCACTTCTAATAAATGCATTTTTCCAAAGTCTGTTGTCAACATGATAAAGTTGCATGAAGCTTTTAAAATATCACAGCAGAGCTGGTACATTTCTTTCATTGTAGCCACAGTAGCCTACTTCCACAGTTAAACARAACGAGTATTGCCTGGATGTTTCCTCCTCCTTGTTTAAACACACCTGTGCAAATATTTTGCCAGTTATTGATTGTTTGACTTATGATGGCATATCGCCCAGTCCTAATAATAATGAATTTTTTGGTATTGTGTTTTTTGTTGCTGTAGTTTTGCACACCTATCGCTTCTGCCTGGCTGGTGGGCGGTGGGAAAGTCACGCCGATCAGCCTGTTTGATGAYACTGCCTACAACAACCAGCCTGAAGCCGACGAGGAGAAAGATGATGATCCCGGGAAAGCCCGGAGCGCTGCAGAATCCAGTGTCTACCTCGGTATATAGCCGTTCAAACGCAATGCATTCTCCAATATCGACTTCCCATATTATCTCTCTTGGACTTTTTGTGTTGCTGTTCTGATAAATTGGCGATTGTTTTACCAGGAATGTTCCAGGGGCAGCTCTACCTCCAGTCATCAGTGAGATTCACTGAAAAATTCCCYTCCAAAGCCATTGGATCGCGGAAAGATATAATTTTTCTACCCACCGTCAAATGGAAGCCTTTGATACGTAAGTCTTTACATAGATGTTCAGTGGATGGTATATTTTTCTGTCTTTAAAACTGTCCTAAGATGAGTTTTCCTAATTTTTGGGGGGGTTTTCAAAGAATGTCTTCATTTTGTTTGCGCAGATTCCCCATCTCGAACTCCGGCTCTGGTTGGCTCTGATGAATTTGACAAGTGTCTGAGCAATGACAAGTTCTCCCATGATGAGTACAGCAACGGTGCTCTGTCCATTCTTCAGTATCCATACGGTACGAGCCAAGTACTGTTCTAGCTTCTTAACTTCATAAATCAACAAAGACTCAAAGCATTATGAAGAATGAAGTTTTGACATTTGTTTATTAGAAGATATTCAGACAGTTTTGCAATCTAGATTTTTATCTTGGGAGTTGCACCAGAAAAGATTAGATTAGACCTTTATTGTCATTGTACAGAGCACAATGAAATTACAGTTCAGAACACCCATTCAGAAGACAGAACACAACAAACATAGGAGAACAGGTGCTCTGGGTCRTGCAGCCACAGACCCTGCACAGAGCAAAGGATCATCTTCATGAAGACATGAGGAGGCGCAATCCGTAAAAGAAAAACTAAAAACCACACAAGGGAAGATGAGGAAAACAAAACAAAACATCATATTATATCAACAATGTGACACACTATGGTGTTTATAAAAAACACTTTGCATAGAGCACATTTATTAGCCAGAGAAGTAAGTTAATTATTTGTGTTTAATGCAAAAAAAACCCCACCAGAAATCCTCCACAGTAAATAACTTGTATTAAACACAGGAGTAAARTTAGACTGATTTCTTGCTAATGTACTACCACAAAAAGTTTAAATATTTTTTCATATAGAACAGAAATATTGTGTCTCTGGGATAGTTCATCATGTCTCCCTCCATCCTGCTGTATGTTGCACAAAGTGAAGCGTTTAATGAACAACAGTACAGTAGATGTTTTCACACCGGAGTCGGAAGAGGAGAAACATTTTATTGTTCTTGTTMACTGCRGAGATGAAAATAAGGTGTGGACAAGTGTGTATCTCCAAAATAATGTTTCCCCACCAGAGAGGGTTCACCACCAAGACTGAAAAATCCTGTAGTCTGAATGAAATTATGAGTAGCATTAAACACAAGRGTTAGATTTTTAAAATGCTTTTTAAGCTCAAAAAATGGAGCTCACATAAAAAAAGTTTTTTTCTTAGTTATTTCTATGCTGTAATAAAACACAAGAACGTTTTGATGCAAGGTTTTTTTGTCGCTTTAGTTTTATTTGTAATATTTGTTAATGAAGTTTCTCACTGGGCTTCGGCTGTTGCAGACTGTTGACAGACAGTTCTGGAGTGAACTTTACACAATGCCACACAGGAACTTTATACAATGGAGAGACTTTTTCCCCTCAGATATTCCTCAGCAAAATGTGAACAATATTGGAAAAAATGGAAACGGTTTATCTGCAATTAAACATATTACACTCAGTATTGAACACTAATCATAACCCCCATAACCACCAATAGAATTTTCACAGAAAGTTTATCTTTGTTTTTTTCTTTTTTTACATATATCTGATAGCTTTTTCAAATGTTTGACTAGTTTGTGTCAGTCTTATTTGTCCTATTTGTCCTACTTTGCTTTATTTGTTTTAATGTTAATGATTGAAAATAGAAAATGTTCAATTAAAAAAGTTAAAACAGTAGATGAATTTGTGACCGGTGGGCTATTCAGCCATTTTATTTTTATTTTTTGGACAATCCTGGCTTATTTTTGTGTGCACCACTTCCAAATCTGTTTTCTAAGCTATGTACATTATTTCATTGTGACAATTTGTTGCCTCTGCAACTCAGGCGATGACACTATAAAACTCGCACAATTGTTTTGAGACATTTTGGAGATCCTCTTTTTGATGGTTGCCAGCAATCACAGCCCAGTGATATGACCTTTTATATTTCCCAAGTTATCTGTATTGCGATAAGACGCATTACACTCTGAAACACACATTGTCTTCATAAATAAAGTTTTTTATATTTCTGGTAGACATTATGACTCATTCTGAAAGTTTTAGCTTTAGCTTTATTTGTATTTTTTTGCTCTCTTCGACTTGTGTTATTAGAACTTTGCTTTTTTTCTTTTCAACGCAGACAATGGCTACTACTTCCCCTACAGCAAGCATTACCGTGAGAAACGCGATAATGCTATCAGTTTAATAAAAGGAAACGAAGCACGCACAGACGGTCACAGGAGAAAGGATCCCGTGCTGCTGCTGCCGTGGTGGAAGGAGATCCTCAGCACCATCGTTTTCTGCATTGCTGCCACCACCTACATCGTGCGCAAGTTTTTTCACCCTCCTGCACCTGTGACCTACGTGAGGGTAAGAACTAACACCTTCTGCAGCACATATGTTGCTACTATCATCAAATCCTCTTCATCGGTTATTTTTAGGGTTGAGGGTTGATATTGGAGGCATTTTGTGTCTCTGTAAACATGAAGTAAAAGTTTCTCCTTCTGTTTTCTGTTTTAAAAAAGCTGACTCGGATGTTTTTGTTCCATGACGGAGTATTAGGGCCACACAACGTGATATTTTTTTATAATTACGAGATTAAAGTCGTAAATTTATGAGAATAAAGTCATAATATTACGAGATTAAAGTCATAATATGAGAATAAAGTCATAATATTACGAGATTAAAGTCATAATATTACAAGAATAAAGACATAATATTACAAGATTAAAGTCATAATTTGCAGAGAATAAAGTCATAATTTTACGAGAATAAAGTCGTAATATTACGAGAAAAAAGTCATAATCACGACATGTCTATTTTCCGTTCCTGATTTCGTCCTTATTTTCCTCACACCTGCAGTGTACAGCCATGTGTCTGTGTTTAGAAAGTAGTCAATGATGACTCGGGTTACTGTTAGATTAATATGTTTTCACCCAAATTAGCTACATGACGACTAAATCTGCCAATGCATCCATTAATTACAATACGCTTCAGTTTATAGTTGTTTGCACAATTTCCAAGTCCTGCTACTGATAATTTGATGCTAATTGCTAAAAGATTAACTATTTATTTATAGCAATACTAAAGAACAACTTGACAAGTTGTTCAACATTCCTCATTTTAATTTAGTTATAACTGCGTGCTTTTTCATGTAAAGGATAAAATATTATGACTTTTTTCTCATAATATTATGACTTTAATCTCGTAATATTATGACTTTAATTTCATAATATTACGACTTTAACTTCGTAATATTACGACTTTTAACTCGTAATATTATGACTTTAAACTCGTAATATAAAGACTTTAATCTCGTAATATTACGACTTTAAACTCGTAATATTACAACTTTAAACTCGTAATATTATGACTTTAAACTCGTAATATTATGACTTTATTCTCGTAATTTAAAAAAAATTAAAAAAAATCTTGTGTTGCCCTAATACTCCATCGTACAGTTCTAACAACTCTATGAGCCATTTATCTTAATTCTTTGTTTTGTTTATTTATTTATTTATTTTTGTCCATGCTGTTCTTCTGCACGTYAAAGCAACGTAAAGAGTCGGAGACACAGTGCCAGACGGACTGCAAGTTTGACCTGGAAGTTGTGAAATCCAAAGAGCCTGATGCCATGGAGAGCCGCTACAATGAATATGTGTCCAGGTAATGATGCACCAACAAACCAGCACGTACCACCTCTTTGTTCTAAACTCTGAACGGCTGTACCAGGAGTTACTCTCACAGCCAGATGCGGCACTCGCTTGTTCAAACTGCTGTTTTAAATTAAGGGCTGTTTAGTGATAGAAGTCACACTGAGTGGGACAAAGAGCAGAAAGAAGTGGATGTTTATTTTACTCTTGAACTGGTGTCTTTGTTTCTCCTCCCAGATACCTGACAGACTTTGAGCCTGTGCAGTGCCTTGGCCGAGGGGGGTTTGGTGTTGTGTTTGAAGCCCGCAATAAGGTGGACGACTGCAACTATGCCATTAAAAGAATCCGTCTGCCCAACAGGTAGAGTCTGGCTTTGACCGCAGCACACTTCCTTCTGTTAGCTCCTCTTTCGTCTCTGGTTTCTTTAAAGCTGTTAAAATGACTCTCATGAGGTTAAGTTATTAGTTGCATGTACATTTATTGTTCAGTTGATGTGCTTTTGCTTGTTTTTAATTTTTACTAACACAGGTACAAACAAAGCTGTTATTAATTTMATGCCTTTTGTCTTTTCTGAAGTTCTTATAAAACCTTTAACGTGGAAAAAAAACCCCACTGTGTTACTACTGTCAGTTCACTGTCATTTTTATCAGCTAATAATCAAAAAAACAGTATTAATTACTCAAAATGTGTTCTTCAAAATGTCACGTTCACCCAAAAACAAGTTTTAAAATAAAGGTATGTGGGAGCAGTGTTTTAAGATTGAATGATTACATTTAAGTTTTAATGATTTACTTACTAAATTAGTTTCAAAACTAAAAAACAATTTGCAACATTTATACTTTATGAATTATTTCATTTCTTTAAAAAATCTTTTTTCCCCAAAACAAACATTGAGATTTTTTAATTTCTTCAAAAACATGGTCAAAACTCTAATTCAGCAGATTTGTGTAAGTTTTTCTGCTTCTCTTAGATTTAGATAAAGTTTGCTGTATTTTTGAGCTACAGTTTAGCTATTTGCTCGTTTGTTGCTTCTGTTCAGCTAAATTTAGCATCAACAGTTTAGTAAATCTTAATTTTTAAATATGTTTTTGCTARTTTTAGCTTGTGGCTTTGGTTTTGCTATTTTTAGTTGCTTAAGTTTTGACGGTTTTTGATTTTAGTTGCAATTTAACTCATAATTTTTAGCTATGGGTATGCTAATTTGAGTCCTTAGCTATGGTTTAGCTAAATTTAGCTTTAAGCTACAGTATTGCTTTGTTTTGGTCTGTCTTGCATATTTTTACTTTCATTTAATTTCAGTTTTTTCAACAAGGTTTAGCAAATTACTTGCACAGCATTTGAGCAGAAAAAGAAATTTTATTTATTTTCCTTTTATAAGCTCCCAAAAACTTGACTCTCTTTTTCTGAAAGAGAGGTGCGGTTGATAAAACTTGGTTTAAATACTGAAACTTTCTGTTTTTCGTATTTCAGGGAGCAGGCTCGTGAGAAGGTCATGCGGGAGGTGAAGGCCCTGGCGAAGCTGGAGCACCCTGGGATCATTCGATACTTCAACGCCTGGCAGGAGAGCCCCCCTGAGGGCTGGCAGGAGGAAATGGACCAGAGGTGGCTGAAAGATGCCAGGTTCGTTGTAGCCGTTATTTGTGTTTGTTAAAAACACTTAGGTGTGGCTGCTAGGGGTGTAAGAAAATAATGATACACTGAAATATCGCGATATTTCATTTCTTGATACCATATCGATATTTTAAAGCCCGGTATCGATTTTTAATTAAGGTTTAAAATGTCAACTTTCCTGCCAGCTGTTCATTTTTATGTTGTAGTTCCACTCTGACCACTAGTTCTGACCACTAGTTGGCAGCAGTGAGCCAGCCATTTGGCTCCTCTACCTCTTGAGCGCCAGAGAGTAAGAGAGCATTAGCATTGTGAGTAAACATTAGCTTCATGCTCCGATAGCTGAATCTGAGCGGAAAAGACCGACACCCTCTGCCTTCTAAGCTCAGGTAAGGTTACAAACAATTACTTATTTATCACAATGTCTGTATTTTCAGCAAAATTAAGTGTCTCGTGCGCTCTTTTTTCAACTGTAGTCACGTCACGTTATGGAAGGCAGGCAGGTACGCATATAGCGCACGTGTCTACTGCCTCGAGCGAGCTTGGCACTCCCCCCGTGACATAAAACTCTGTCTGTTGCTCTCAATGTCCGGCTGATTGCATCAAAGTTCATATACTTTAAGTTTATCCTGCTGTGTTCACTTCAAAAACGATTTAACTGTGTTGTTTAGCTTCTCCATTTATTTACTGTTTATTTTCGGGACCTGCCCTGCTGTTCGACCCACAGTTCTACAAATCAGGTTCTGGATGCAGGTCAGCTGATCCCAGAAACT